GCAACGAACTCAGCCACCGAAATTCAGGGCCCAAGCGCCAAGCTAGCAGCGTTCCCAGTCCATTCCGAAGAGGTGGAAGCGGAGGAAGGCCACAACGATGAGAACGATGTCCATCGCCTCACCAATGACAGACGGTCGCAGGTAGGGGTCAAACAAGAATACACCGGTCCACCCAAGCACATCACCCTGTGCCTAGCCTGTGGGGGATCACATCAAAGGGCCACCTGCAAGTTTAAAGGAGCCGTTTGCAACAACTGCCATAAGAGGGGGCACATTGCGAGAGTCTGCCAAGCCCCCCAAAGCGCTGCACAAAGACCCCCGTCCTCGCACTCGGGACCACAGAGGCAAGTATTAAACTGTCGCACGCACTGCCTTGCCAGGCGTACTTGTCACTCTGTTAGTAAAATTTCTCTCTCCGTTTCCCTAGAAGGTAAACCGTGCCACATGGAGGTTGACACAGGGTCAGCGCTCTCAATAATCTCGTGGAACACCCTCAAGAGACTCCACCCCAGCCTATCTACTACCCGGCTTCAGAGATGCCAGTTCGGTCTGAAGGACTACCAGGGGAAGGCCATTCCCGTGATCGGCAGAGGCAAGTTCTTTGTCAGTTTTAGAGCTTTTAAAGGCCACCTACCTCTAGTGGTAGTTAACGGCAATCTACCCACCTTATTGGGGCTCGATTGGTTTCCCCACCTCGGCCTAGGGTTAACAGGAGTCCATGCTGTCTCAACCTCAGACACTGACTCCTTATTCGCTGACTACGCAGATGTGTTCAGCGAGGAGCTGGGGTGTTATAATGGAACCCCCATCTCGTTCACCGTTGACCCCCAGGCAGTCCCAATCAGATTAAAACCACGTAGAGTTCCATTTGCTATTCGACCAAAACTAGACGCTGAATTGGATAAACTACTAAAACAAGGGGTCATTGAGCCAACAGATTTCGCCAAGTGGGAGACGCCCATTGTCACACCCCTCAAAAAAGATGGTAGCCTGAGAATCTGCTCGGACTACAAGACAACAATCAATAAATATTTACAAGTTAGCGCCTACCCCGTGCCCGTCATTCAGCACTTATTGCACACATTCGAACCGGGCAGTATTTTTGCTAAATTGGACATGTCTCAAGCATATCAACAGTTCCCTGTTGATAACCAAACAGCGGAACTTCAGACCATCGTCACTCACAGGGGTGCCTTCCGATGCAAGCGTCTCCAATTTGGCGTAAGTGTTGCCCCGGGTATTTTTCAATCCCTCATGGAGCGGATTTTACAGGGCCTCCCTGGTGTAGTACCCTACTTCGACGACATCTTGGTCTCGGCCAGGGACAGACCCCAACTCTTCCAGAGAGTGCGAGCAGTGTTAGAGAGGTTCAGACAGCATGGCCTCAAGTTAAAAAAAGAAAAATGCGCCATTGCCACTAGACAGGTGGACTTTCTGGGTTATAAAATTGACGCCTCTGGCATTCACCCCCTGGAGTCCAAGGTCAGGGCGATCCACGAAGCTCCCACACCGACCTCCAAAATGGAGCTACAAGCTTTCTTGGGGCTCCTAAACTTTTATGCATCCTTTTTGCCCCATAAAGCCTCAGTAGCCGAACCCCTACACAGATTACTAGACAAAAAGTCACCGTGGCACTGGGGGCACAAAGAAGACCAGGCGTTTAACGCCGTCAAATCACTACTTACGTCAGAGGCAGTGCTCATACAATTCGACCCCAACCTTCCTTTAGTACTGTCAGCAGACGCATCCCCTTTTGGAATTGGGGCGGTCCTTAGTCACCGACTTGCCAATGGCGCCGAGGCCCCCATCGCCTTTTTCTCCAGGACGCTCTCGGCCACGGAGCGAAATTACAGCCAAATAGACAAGGAAGCCCTAGCAGCTGTTGCAGCCGTGAAAAAGTTTCACGAATTCCTTTTTGGCCACTTCTTCGAACTGGTCACCGACCATAAGCCCCTCCTGGGCCTACTGGCCGGCGACAAACAGACACCTCAAGTCCTCTCCCCTCGGATGACAAGATGGACACTTTTCCTAGCGGCCTACTCATACAAACTTATCCACCGCCCGGGCAAAACCCTATCCCACGCTGACGCGCTCAGTCGCTGCCCCTTACCCGCTCCGGCTGAAGACCCAGCTCCTGTCAATGCCATTTTTGAAATCACCCAGTTGGACCTGCCCATCACCGCCCTTGACATCGCCGCCAAAACCAAGGCAGACCAAACGCTCGCCCAGGTGCTCGACTGGGTGAGGAGGGGGTGGCCGGGAGGCAATGTTGATAACAAATTCGCACCCTTTAAGACTCGCATGCAGGAGCTGTCCAGTTTGCAGGGTTGTCTTCTGTGGGGCACTCGAGTGGTCATTCCGACCTCGCTGCGTACCCGAGTCCTGGAAGCGTTGCACGAGGGACACCCCGGCATTGTGAGAATGAAGGCGTTGGCACGCAGCTACGTGTGGTGGCCGGGTCTAGACGAGGACATTGTCAATTGGGTAAGTTCCTGCAGCATTTGCCAGGAATCCCATCCTGCTCCCCCCATCGCCACCCCTACCAGATGGGAGAGCGCCAGCGCCCCTTGGTCTAGAATCCATATCGATCTGGCCGGCCCCGTGCATGGAAAGATGTTCCTAGTGGTCGTGGACGCTTATTCCAAATGGATAGACGTGGCGCAGCTATCCACGACCACCACACTAGCAATCACCAACGTGTTAACGCGCCTGTTCGTTACACATGGACTACCCGACTCCTTGGTCTCCGATAATGGCCCACAGTTCGCATCAGTAGAATTCAGCCGTTTTGCAGCCAACCTAGGCATTCACCACATTTTCACAGCCCCATTTCACCCTGCGAGTAATGGGTTGGCTGAAAGGGCCGTCAGGACCACCAAAGAGGCCCTCGCTAGGTTTGGCAGAGATGACTGGCACCACAAACTCTCACGGTTCCTGATGAGCCAGCACTCAACCCCCTGTACAGTCACCAATAAGTCACCTGCGGAACTTCTGATGGGCCGGCGCCTGAGGACTGTATTAGATAGACTGCACACACAATACTGCCCTGACTCTCCCCTCGCTTCCACTTCGGGGGTTAGACATTTTGTGTTACAGGAGCCGATATTCGCAAGGAATTTCGCTGGGGACCCACTTTGGATTCCGGGCGAGGTCATCGCCGTCACCGGGCCGAGATCGTATAGAGTAAGGCTGGAGGATGGTCGCGTCTGGAGGAGACACATAGACCAACTCAGAAGGCGCCTCAGCAACCTCGCAAACAAGAATCCAGAGTCTCCAGTCGAAGGGGAACCGTCTCATCCGCCACCCAGCCACACCGCACCCAGTGACCAGTCTGCGCCAGCGGTCGTTCCGGTCAGCCCAAACTCAGACGACAGTGCCCAGAGAGTTGACCAACCGGATCCAACCCTCGAGAGCTTGACCCCAGAAACCAACCCGGTGGTTTCCGAGGATGCCCAGTCCAGAGAGAGTGTTGGCGACACTATGCCAGCTCAACCGTCACAGACTGATACCGAACAGTCAGACAATGTTCCCGAGTTGCGCCGCTCCGGGCGCCAACACAAACCCCCCATCTACCTCAAGGACTATGCGTGTTCGCATCTGGGGGGAAGGGGTGTTATGTCCTGAGGACTCAAGGAGTTCTCACTCAGGTCCACTCACTTTGTGTGGGCGTTATTCCCCCATTCCCCATTGGTTGGTTCTCCCCAGCAGCCAGCTATAAAAGCAGGCTGCGGGGTCCAACTGCTGCTGATTGCTGTGAGCCAGTTCCAGGCTTGGCAAGCACGGTCAGCCCTTTATTTGTAAAATAAAGTACTGTTGCACTCATGCTCTGGTTCAGCCTCTCATTGCTCAAACTTAACAGAAAGGTTGGTGACCCCTGCTCTAGAGAGCCAAGACAGAATTTAACCAACACAATAATTTAACAGTTCTTTATAATCATCTATACCAGTGGTTCCCAAACTTTTTCAGTCCACCACCCCCTTGGTGCTTCATCCTCAGTGCCCCCCACCCAGAAGTGGGATTCAAATTCTTAACAACTGGTTCTGTGGGCGGGGCCTAATTTGTGGGCATGGCTTGCTGGTCATGTGACTGGGTGGGCATGGCCATGTGGCCATGTGACTGGCAAACCAAATATAAGGGGTCCTTGCTTAATGGCCAATTGCTTAGTAAGTGTTCTAATTTATGACTGACCTCCCCAGAGCTACTTGACCTGTTTTTGGAGTTTTGACAGCCATGCACACACACACACACACACACACACACACACACACACACACACCCTCCTAACCCTGCTGGAGCAGGTGGTTGGACTAGATATCTCATTCAATTTCCCCTCCCTCCCTCCCTCTCTCCCTCTCTCTCTCTCTCTCTCTCTCTCTCTCTCTCTCTCTTTCTTTCTTTCTTTCTTTCTTCTTTCTTTTTCTTTCTGTCCCTTCCTTCCACCCCCCCTCTTTCTTTGTCTATCCTTTTTCTTCCTTTCTCTCTCTCTTTTTCTTTCCCTTTTCTCTTTTCTTTCTTGTCTCTTCCTTCTCTCTCTCTCTCTTTCCCTCTCACTTTCTCTTTCTCTTTCTCTCTCCTGCCCTCCATATCTCATTCACTTTCTCCTCCCTCTTTCTTTCTTTCTTTCTTTCTTTCTTTCTTTCTTTCTTTCTTTCT